TTATTCAAACTCATTAGGTGCTATTAGTGTTGGTAAATACTATTATTCAAACTTATTAGGTGCTATTAGTGTTGGTAAAGACTACTATTCAAACTCATTAGGTGCTATTAGTGTTGGTAAATACTATTATTCAAACTCATTAGGTGATAATAATACTGGTAAAATATATTATACAAACTCATTAGGTGCTATTAGTGCTGGTAAAGACTACTATTTAAACTCATTAGGTGCTATTAGTGCTGGTAAAGACTACTATTTAAACTCATTAGGTGCTATTAGTGCTGGTAAAGACTACTATTTAAACTCATTAGGTGCTATTAGTGCTGGTAAAGTCTAGTATTCAAACTCATTAGTTGGTAAAGACTGTCAGTAAAGTTTATTGCTAAAGTTTATGTAGTACTTTTTTGCTGTAATTTTACAACTATTTATAAATTATGCTAACATACTTATCAGGAAAAGAATGAACTCTACTATTGAAAACAATTACTGTTAAGAAGATGAAAAACATTGTATTTATGCGATTCATCAAACTTTTGAGAATGTACTTGCTCCATCATCAGGAAAGTCTGAAAACAAAAATACTGATACAAAGAATTAAGCATGCTATACTAAAACAATTGTGAATATGCAAATAAGTAACTCACGTGCTAGCTACAGCTGCTATAATGCTGTGGTGGAAGGGAATGTCTCAAAACTACATGCTGACTTTGGCGTTTGGTAGTTAATGTGATACTACCTTAATTTAAACGTTTTTGGAAATGGTACATGTAATAAACTTTTCTGATGCACAATATAAATATATTTAAATCCTAAAGATGCTTTTAGATAACCGATTTAGAACTTCCAAAACGAATATATACCTTGAACTTGATGGCATTGGAATACTAAAGAATATGGATTAACTTGAGATACCAGGACCATCCAGAAGGAGGCCTGCGACAAGTCATATCCCCGCCCTAGCAAGGCAAAGTGCAGCGTTTTGTAACACGAAAACAAAGATCAGTAGGAAAAGCTGTCTATTTGTCCCAGTTAACAGTATGCAATATAAACAATAAGTATAGCCATCTAGAAAAGTTACACAAGTCACGAAATATTTCTTCATTAGTCGCATAATTCAAGCAGCTGGATGATAAAACGGGCATCCATGCTATTCTTTAATGTCGCCTGACACACCCTTGCTTATCCGTGGATTTCTGTTTATCGACTATTGAAATGGTCGATGAGAAACTATCATTTTCGTAAGCTAGATGGCTTTTGGTAAACATGCAGAAAGTATGTATGTGTTTAGATATTGTGATCTTATGACGGGGCCTAAAGCAATGAAAACTCTGTTACATGGCTATTTTGAAGATGCAAAATCGTCAGAGTAAGACCGAGAGTGTCAACATGGATTTTGAGGATTCAAAACCGTTTTAGTATAACGTACTCAACCTCTGTATGTCAAAACATCTTTTATTGAAACTTCGTTGATGATGGAATAAGCATACTTCGAACGTTCGGTGAATCATGTAAATAAAATATTTTTTGTCCTCGCAACCTTGTTTGTCTTCATTAACAGTCTTTTCTATTCGTCCTATATAATGTCTATTATTTATAACTGATTACAACGATTTTAAATATACCAGTTCAGTGCTGTTCTAATAATTCGCCAAATTTGTAATTGGGGCCTGGTGATTAGGGTACGCTTAACTCGCAATCTGTGGGTCGAGAGTAAAGAGTTACCAGTGGGTGATATTGACTAGGTGCCATCTCTCTCTACTGTTCCGTCACTTTTAAATTAGGGACGACTAGGTTAGATATTCCTTGAGTATCTTTGCACGAAATTCAAGAAACGTACCAGTTTCATTATCTTAAAGGCACATTTAAGCCTTGTTATAAGAAACATTTGAAGAAAGTTCTTGATCTGAGGTAAACAAAAGCACTCTGTCGTTTTCAATTTTGATTTCTTTTCAGTATCATTGTCGCATACAAACAAGATGGAGTATTTATACTCTTTTTAAGCCATCATTACATCCTTTCAAAATCCATTTCCATCATTACATCCTTTTTAAGCCATCATTACATCCTTTCAAAATCCATTTAATGTTTTGATTGTCAAAAAGTTAACGCATATCTAATCTAGATACTTTGTTTTACGTTACTTCAGTAGTTGAAATCGTTGGAAAAGAGAAACGAACACGATTGATGGGAATAGCCTGCATCGGATGGACATTGGGTCTTTGTAGTTTGCCACTCTTTGCTTTTATATTCCGGAGTTGGAGGACTTTTGGACTTATAACCACTTGCTTTTGTATTCCATATTTCTTTTATTGGAGGTACAGTTGTCATTTGATTGTATTTTATTCTTACACCTTGATTTAAGGAATATGTATATCACTTTTGATCCCTTTTTATTTAGTGAAGAAATTCGTGGATTTATGAACATATAATTTTATGCTTGTGTATTCTGTTCTTTTTTATGTATTTAAATGCGGATTGAATTGCATCTAAAAGTTTATCTTAAATACCCAAAAAATACTAGTTCATTGTAACCTCAGGATGCAATCGAGTTCATTATCAAAATAGGACGTTTCGTACGAACTTAATACGGTTTTTGTTTCAACATATATAATTATAAGTGCATTAAATATTGGTTTGAGCAGGAAGGGTATAGTTTTGTTTGTTTGTTTGTTTTTGAATTTCGCGCAAAGCTACACGAGGGCTATCTGCGCTAGCCGTCCCTAATTTAGCAGTGTAAGAATAGAGGGAAGGCAGCTAGTCATCACCACCCACCGCCAACTCTTGGGCTACTCTTTTACCAACGAATAGTTAGATTGACCATCACGTAATAACGCCCCCACGGCTGAAAGGGCAAGCATGTTGGGTGGGACTGGGATTCGAACCCGCGACCCTCTGATTGCGAGTCGAGCGCCCTAGCCACCTGGCCATGCCGGGCCCCTAACCACTTGGCCATGCCGGGCCGAAGGGTATAGTAGTTAACAGAACAAATCTGCTACAGATCATGTTTCTATAATCTCTCACAATACATTTTGTAGAGCAAATGAGGGCATTTGCTTTATAATTACTGGACTTATGCTCTATGGTCGTCGTAAGACTCAATGAGAATAAATTGCGTTTCGATGAAATAAACTAAGAAAATACTCTAAGTGCTTACTTGAAATACATATTAAATTCGCAGCCTAAAGCTGTAGTGGTAACCATTGTAATAATGTCCCCAAGCGTTTCAATAAACAGTTTTTATTTTTATTTTATTCTGTTGAGTAACTAATAAATATCAACCATTCACATGGTGTCTTTCCACCTTTTAAACCTAAATTACCAAACAAGCAAAAATAAATATTAAAAAAGTAAGAATAAAAACCAGTTTAAGTTTTTGTCAAA